CTAATTTAAATAAATATTACACAAAGACTGAAACAGATGGTAAGTATGCTTTGACTTCTAATTTAAATAACTATTATAATAAAACACAAGCTGATGGTAAGTATGCTTTGACTTCTAATTTAAATAAATATTATACAAAGATTGAAACAGATGGTAAGTATGCTTTGACTTCTAATTTAAATAACTATTATAATAAAACACAAGCTGATGGTAAGTATGCTTTGACTTCTAATTTAAATAACTATTATACAAAAATGAAACAGATGGTAAGTATGCTTTAACTTCTAATTTAACTAACTATTATACAAAGAATGAAATTGATAGCAGAGTAAATGGTAAAGTAGTACACCATAGCAATCAATTAAATTATAAAATTTTAATACCGACAAGATATTATCAGAATTTATTTTAAAAATATTAAATTTATTGAATTTACACTTTTATTAATAAATCCATCTGATAACACTAAAACAATTAAATTAGATATGATGGTAGATAAGATTAAAAAAAAATTTATCATTAAAGTAACAAATGATAATGAAAAAAAGATAGTTAATGCATTACTAGATTTATATCACGTATACTGTGTTGATGATAAAGATAATAATATTTTATTAATTATTGAACCAACAAAATCTTCAGTTTCACTAGATTATGACGAATGGAAAAGAAAATGGCTGGCAGCATTTAATGGATTAACCAAAATTCAAGTTTATTCACAACATCAATCTACATTATCTATGTCATATAATGGTTTTCACAAAATTTTAGGGCTACTATAGAAGATAATATTCTATCAACTAAAAATTTGTAAATGATGAAATCGAAAAATTAAAAAAATTTATTAAAAATAACTATCAAGCTAAAACTTAAGATGAAGAATAATCCTCATGTTTGACTACATATCACATAACTGTTTGTAATAAGTAATTAATAAAAAAGCGATATACAAAAGAATTCAAAATCCTGAAACAATTATTAAAAACACTTTTAACAAAAATTATATGACACTCGCTTGACAGACAAATTAAAAAAACATATAGATTCCATATTTTGTACAACATTGTATTATTATACATGCGCTGATGAAATGTGCTGCTTACATTAAACAACCATTGTTGAAAACATGCACTAAGACACGCGCCTGACAGGGTCTTGTTAACACTTGATTATTAACACTTGATTATTAACACTTGATTATTATACATGCGCTGATGAAATGTGCTATTACATTAAACAACCATTGTTGAAAACATGCACTAAGACACGCGCCTGACAGGGTCTTGTTAACACTTGATTATTAACACTTGATTATTAACACTTGATTATTATACATGCGCTGATGAAATGTGCTATTACATTAAACAACCATTGTTGAAAACATGCACTAAGACACGCGCCTGACAGGGTCTTGTTAACACTTGATTATTAACACTTGATTATTAAAGACGGTTTTTTGAAGAGCATTTCTTAAGCCTCTGTTATTCTCGAATATTCTTCGAATATTCTTCGAATGTAAGGGGACGCTCAATTTTCACTTCGTGAAAATTTTCCCCGTCGCTTAAATTCTCGAGGGCTCCATTCCCTGCTCAATTTTAGCTACGCTAAAATTTGCGCTACTCGACCCTCTCGAAACGATGCTTGTTAACATTTGTTTGTAAAGACCGTTTTAAAAACATATAGATTCAAATTTTTACCCCTGGAAACAATGACTTTTTCATACAGCTTTCTTACATGACCTTTTACTGAGGGACGCCTTTTGAACCATGGTCTTATTTTATGCTGTTATAAAGAAAGTTTTTACTACTATATTGAAACAAACAATTTTTTACACAGCTTTTTTACATGACCTTTTTACCAGAGGGACGTCTTTGAACCATGGTCTTATTTTAAGCTGTTATAAAAATAGTTTTTACCCAAGGTTATACGTAGTATAGTACATGGGGGATTATAGCGCACTTTTCGTGCGCTAAAACCCCCATGTACTATACTACTAGAATACAAATATCAGCACCTTGTAAACGGCTTACAAGCGAACAATTAATAAGTATACCACACAAACTAAAACATCCACATATTTTCCTCTCTGTCATGACGTCTAGAGAACAAATACGGCAAACCTGACTAATGTTGTGGAAACGTCAGTAAACTCTGAACACCAACAGTGGTTCCAAACCATTTTAATTTCTATTTATTTGTACAGTAAATAAAAATAATTTAAAAGACTTATTCATACCAAGAATGAAGTTGTACTGTGAAAGTTGTGCATTGCGAACTTTCTTATTTAGTGTTGATCCGTGATCCAAGTCTGTATCAACACGATAACCAGCTGCATGGAACTTCTTTTGAATCTAAACATGACCAAAATGTCAATAAAAAAAAAAGGACAAAAAAATTCCAATTCATAAAATAGCAACAATTTGTCCATAGCTGAGTTTGCATTAGCCTGTGCAAGTTCGATCTAAGGCTTACCAAATTAAATTTACCGGTTCGGCATAATCATCATATTTACTACTGACAGGAATTACTACAACTTGATGGGGAGAAAGCCATAAAATCCTAGAAAATAACAGAAAATGCAGTGCGTCAAAATTTTGAAATAAAGTAAAGTAGAATAAAAATGATAAAAAATTTCCAAACAATTAAGAAACTTTGTATCATTTTAATTTAACAATTTAAGGACATTTCATTTGCTTTAAGCTCTGGCATGAGCCAAGAAAACACTCACCATTTTCCACCAAAGCTTTCAGCAAGAATAGCAATCATTTTTTCAACTGAACCTACAATAGCTCGATGAATTATAACAGGATGTAATTTTATATCACCTTCACCACTGTCAATAGAGTAATAGAATATTGATAAATTACTAAATTGTTACAATTTGTAAAGATCTACAATTTCATGGAAACTTAAACTGTGCCGTAATCCTCTGACTATAATACACAGGCTTACATATGTTTGTGAGCCATTATCAATGATATTTACATAGGGGGGATGGATGCACAGGGATACATACATGGACTATTAACTATTATATTGCAATTATCTGTTGACATTGCAATATTAAATGTAACTATATACTTATATGAGGGTGGGTTTGTTTGCGGGCGAGTTTGAATGCAGGTGGGACTTTCAGTGTTCAGCAATGTAGCAGGCTGCATATAAGTATATAGTATATATAAGCATATAAATATATAACAATAGGTTTCTATAGAAACAAATAATCATGTCACTGTTGGTTAAATAAATTAAGTATCAAGACCGTAGTGAGGTTATTCAACGAAAAGCTTACTGGCAAAACTTACCTAGCGTGAGGTTGAATCTCTCAGGAAGTTGGAAATCCAGTTCAATTGTTGCACATTGATGAGACCATCTCATAGCATCAAGAATTTTTATATTAATCTATAAATTGTGATAGCAATGAAATTATAAATTCACAATGGTATACATCTGTAAACATAGAAAGCTTCATCCCCCATCCCCAGGAATTATCTGCCGTTTTTGACCAAAATTATTCAAAGCTTCCATCAGTTTCTAATGAAGCATAAAACAAACTCATTTAGTTAAACAATTAAAAATATTATCAATCATTAAACATTTTCGATATTTATGACAAGACAGCTAAAAAACATTGTAAAGACTGCATTTATGTTCGCTGTGAACAAATTTCCTTCCTTCTTTGGGAGGTAAACAAACCAATCTGTATGTCAAATCAACAAATGAAAACATTCTATATTTTATTTCATTCTTGAATAACTGTCTATATCTTTGATATCCATAAAGAGGAATTGCACACGATGAAACAAATGTAACTTGATTAAATAGTTCATTGGTTTCAACCATTGAGTTGTAATGTTTGAAATGTTCAAGGTTAGAAGCCATCTTGATTTCAGCAAGGAGACTGAACGAGTTAATATTTTAGTTGCAATATTAACAAATACTAAATAAAATCAATTACAAGAAAACAAAAACAATGATGAACCAAAATTGTTAAAGAACATATTTTAAGTAAAAGCGACTCATGCAAGGTAACTCAAATGTTCAACTTATGATGGTGAAAATATAAAAAAAACATGGAGATAAAATAAAGCATGACAATCAATAGATCTTCACTTAGGTAATAATAGCTGCAGATCCAAATTTATAAACAGTGTGTGAAGCACTGACTAAAACATTTTGGCAATCAAATGCACTTGAAAGCCCTGGCAGGTTAGCTAAAGTCCCTCGGTGCTACAAGTCTTGTGACTTTTACTACAAAATCTCCCTCGGCTTTCAAGTACATTTAATCACTAAGTTACCTCACTACCGTGCATCGTTTTACTTATAAAAATATTGCACACGCTAGCTAAAATGTAGATCCCATTAACTACATACATGTATGGTCTTATATGAGCCAGTTTTAAATACTCAAAGAATATTTAGGCAATCAGAGAGTAAAATATTTTTACCTTACTCTGAACAAAACAGTTTTTCTTGTGAGTCTTTTTATCGCAGGGATACGTCGGTATAAAATTCTTATCACCAAAATGTTTCAAATTCCAAATTGGTGAAGTGTTGACTGTGTAGTAAGCTGGTCGATACAACTCATACGCAACGCATCGATTTGCTGTTTAAAATCATGATAGAACTCATGCAGATAGATTGGTTTCACATAGCCAGAATAACAACCAATAACTGTTAGCTTCCAGAACAATTCAGTGAATTCACCACAAATGTCAGTCTGCTACGTGAAGATAGTTCTCTTGCATATGCCTCAAGTCTTTTTTTACGCTTCCGAATTGCATCCTTGAACGCCTTATTTTATATAGTTCAGCCAACATTTACCTATTCTTGCCATAAAATGATTAAGTGTGCTCCAAGTTGACTGAAAATAAAATTGTTCAGCATACGCCATTTTGAAAGCATGTCTATAATTATCCACTATCATCCATTGTAACCATTGAGTTCTATAATAACTCATTATAGAACTCAATGATTGTAACCACTATCAACACCTAATGTCATTGGTCAAAAATAGTCACATTTTTTATTTACTTTTGCCTTTCATTCATGTCATTTCTAGATATGAATTTTCTTATTCGTCCATAGTTCAATCAATAATAAAAAAATATTTATTGTAAATTTTATTATAGCAAATGAACGTGACGCCAAGAGTTTGTAAATTACATGCAATTTTTCGTCGTGGTATAGTGAACTATCTATCTCGACCTTATTTAAACCTGAACATTTTTTATAGTCGTTATATGCATCAATGCATTAATTATAGTCGTTTGATGAAAATATGGAAATATGATAAAATTCTTTTTTAAGGGGGGGTGACTCGATTTTTCTAAAAGTTCTTTTGGATGTGGAAAATGTGTTCAAATGCATGAATTATAGTCTTTTGGTAAAATAATGGAACTAAGATTAAATTCATTTTCAGGGGGGGTGGAATTCCTATTTCTATAAAAGTTCTTTTCGTTGTGGAAAATGTGTTCAACTGCATGAATTATAGTCTTTTGGTGAAAGTATGGAAATATTATAAAATTCATTTTCAGGGGTGGACTCGATTATTTTGTCAAAGTTCTTTTTGATGTGGAAAATGTGTTCAAATACATGAATTATAGTCTTTTGGTGAAATTATGGAAATATTATAAAATTCATTTTCAGGGGGGGTGGAATCCTCATTTTCTAAAAGTTGTTTTTAAGTGGAAAATGTGTTGGAATGCATTAATTATAGTGTTTTCGTGAAAGGTCAATTTCATTTTGGCTTGGTCAAAGTCAGTTTTGTATCGTCACATTAATATACATAATTTTCGTCGATAATATGAAAAAACATTTTTAACTAAGCGCTTCCGACATCACTACGCACGGTCTCATTATAATATTGAAATCCTCATTACCCAAAGCTGACCACGACACACTTTACGAGAACGGAATCGTAACCTTCAATGCAACAAGCCCCTAGCCAGCAAATACTTACTAGAGAAAGCATGGTTTTTACGTATGTAAAAAATTGACGCTCAATATTGCAAAACATATTGAAAGGAAAGCCGAATAATAAATTATTATGGGAAAACTGAAAATGTTACCGATACATAGGTATTTTTGAAAATCATTGTCCGTTGCCTGGCCGTTATTTTGAGCCCTGTTCTTTTTGCTTAGTTAACTCAATTTTTAACAAGGTATTGTTATCTTAATGCAGTTAAGGTAAGGTATGATTGTCACACATTTCTTATTAATTTGCACTCAGGCGAATGAGATGTTACTCGTTGGAAAAGAAACTGACTGCGGTCGAAGCTTGTAACTACGGTTTGGTAACAGAAGTTATTCCTCAAGCCGAAATTGAAAAAGAAATTAACAACAGAATGAAATACATGGCTGCGTTGCCGCCGAAGGTAGCACAAATCTGGACTTTACCGTTATTGCTTCGTTTCATTTAACCATACAATGCTTCTCTCCATTGCAGTCGCTCTCATTGTCCAAGAAATTATGTTGCTCAGTTGAGCTGGAGAAACTTCACGATGTGAATAATAAAGAATGCGAAGTGCTTGCTCAAAAATGGCTCTCGGAGGAATGCGCGCAAGCAGTGATGACTTTTTTACAACGCAAATCAAAAATGTAGTTGAAACATTAAGTTGATTCTTGTTTATGAAATGTTCGATGCATTTTCTTTCTGTGTATGTTATTCAGTTTGATAAAAACCATTTCCACCAAAGTGTTAAGCGTACAAAAGCATCTGCGCAAACATCTACTTGATGTCACGTGACAACATGTTAATTAATGACACTTATTTTTAAACAACTGCATCAATTTTCAACAAATGCGCAAGAAAATAAGGTTATCGCGACTAAGAAGTCCGTTACGCCAGCAGTAAACACTGAAGTCTCAATGACTTGAACGATACAGAACGAGTGTTCGAAATTTTCCAGCAAAAGTTTTTTTGCTATGTTTTGGAACTTGATTCAAAACGCAATTTTTTTCCTCCAAAGTAAAGATTTTAAAAATCGTGGTTAAATGAACGAATATGTTTTGTTATTCAACTCAAGTTACGAATGATTTACACCAACAACGCTACAAATTCCGCTGCGTAAAGGTTACAAACGGATCATTGGGGGACACAATATCCTATATGTACAACAAATATTTGCACGCGCTATAAGTCCGATCGCAAGTATACCTGGATGGTAAGCCATTCCTGTAAGCTCGTCCACCATCTTCTTACGATGCCATGTTGCTGATGTACTTTTGAAACAAATCGCGTTCCTCGTGATTTTTATCCTCAAGTTCTTGTATATTACCGTTGACCATCAACGTCTGTTTCTCGAAGGCACTACAATATTAAATATGCTGCTTTACTATTTGCTGACATGGGATTTTTCAAAGTTCGAAACTGTAAATGTTTTCATCATCTTCGACGTGAACGTCCATGAATAACAATAGAAATCTATTGCATTTTCAAAGGTCCGTGTCCTCTCTCTAGTTGCTAAGCTCCGCCCACCCCCTTCCTCTCCTTTCCAATAGTGCCCAATCTCTCTCCCTCGTAAAAATAGACACACAAACCTGTCTAGAAACTAGTGAAGATCTCGCCAAAAGTGAATTGAGCTCCTCCTCGAAATGTTTGAAAGATAAAATTTCTGCGACAATTCCGCGTTCCTTTGCCATGTCGCAGTCGAGTTTCGTGTTTCATAGAATAACAGACATTGCCTGATTTAAAGGAAATTCACCGTAAGACAAAATGATTTTTTTTTAAAGCATCTCGGTTCTTTTATAAAAACAACAATTATGCTTCACGATACACTTTTTTTAAGGTGGGTGGGGGGGGGGTTAGGGATAGGGAGTAAAGAATTTTGGGGAACTTAGATAAAGCTATTCGTAGTTTTAATTACTTTTCAATCTCACAGTTAATTTAACACCTCAGAACATAACACATCCTCTCAGGTTCAAGAAAAGAAAACATTTTAATGTTTATATAAAGTGATCAATAGGCGTGGATACAACTCAAATACATAACATGGCAAAATATGACCTAGTGCCCAGGCCTCCGTTTAATATAAACAAGTCACGTGTACCTGTGAATGACCAAATAAATTAGGTACAGTTAGAGAGCAACATCCAACTGGAGGATGACCCAACTCCACAAACTTCGTTTGAAAAGTTGCCTTTAAAAAACACGACGAATACGTCAACTGAAATAAAAATTACGTAATGTTGTACTGAGGAGTCACTAGGAGTCACTAAGATCAGTTCTTACCAAACTGGAAACATTGGTCTATAAACAAGAAGAAGCGTTATGAATACGTTCCGCTTTCGCGCATGTATATTTACTTTTCATAATTGGAAAGGTCGTCGTTTAATTAGATTCGTGCTCAGTTACAATTGGTTTTTTCTATGAAATTAGATTGTCCCCCCGCTATATAATTTGAATTAGAATTTTAGCAAATTGTGAAGTTGTTTCAAAGTAGTTTGCCACCTACTTCGAACTGCTGAGCACAAAGTAATTTTGCTAACTCGCAATGACTGTTCATGCGTCTATTTCTATAATACTATAGTTCATGCGACTTAAACGATCTCATGACACCGTTGAAATAAATGAAATGGTAATCGAGTTCCATCGGTTCTAATCGCTAATAAAGCGCTCGCAAGAAAAATGTTTCGTTTGATCATAGTGTGTGTGTGTCATCGTGGGGTAACTTCATATGCTGAAAAGACAGTTAAATTTTCCATGCACCTAACTCCCAAAGACTATAGCTAATGTGTCTATTTCACAAAGACTTTAGTTCATGCACCTAAAGGCTATAAAATCTATATATATGTATATTGTTCGTGCATCTTAACAATATAGTTCATGTACCTAACTCCCAAAGACTATAGTTCACAAACTTAACTTTCAAAGAATATCTTTCACACACCCAACTTCAAAGACTAAACTCCCAAAATTCTTCTTCATGCACCTAAACTCGGAACGACTATAGTTCATACACCTAACTCCCAAAGACTATATTTCACGCACGTAACTCGCAAAGACTATAAGATCATGCGTCTATTTCCCAAAGAGTTTAGTTCATGCAACTAACACCAAAGAAAATAGTTAATGTATCTAATTACCAAAGACTATAGTTCATGCACCTTACTCCGAAGGACTATAGTTCATGAAAGAGCTCCCAAAGACTATAGTTCATGCACCTAACATCCAAAGACTATAGTTAAAGCACTTAAATTCCAAAACTTATATTTCACGCACCTAAATCTCAAAGATTGTTCATGCGTTTATTTCCCACTTATTGAACTCACTTGATTGGTGAATTGTATTTTCCCATGTTTTCAAAACTTTCTTAAAGGTCGTACATTCCAATTCTTGTTCTTAATTCCAGGATCACATACATATGAACTATTGACCAGACAAAATCATGATATCTAATTACAATGTGACATCACTCTTCACATCCATACCATTAGACATAGCCAAACAACACAACTAGACAAATAAAATCCTAGACTTACTCAACCTTTGCCTCTCCACTGAATTCTTCTTCTAAAACTCATACTATAGACAACTTTCAGCGAATCAATGGGGTCACCACTATACACCTTCCTCGCAAAAGCTGTCGTGCAAAACCTCGAAACACAATCAGTCACCAACAGCACAGATGAAACAGACAGACTATGGAATAGATATAAAGACGATATCTTTGCCATAGTCAAGAAAGCAAAACTGGACAAATGCTACACACCATAAAAATACTACAAAGAAGATAACCTTCACTAAAGACAAAAAAACACAACAAGACTAAACAAACAAGTATACGGCATAAATACCCTTACAGACCAAATACTTGATTTCAACCGTAATCATTCCACACAACACAAAATAAGCAACATTCGAACACTTTTCAACAGAATTAACACTCACTGCAGCACAGAAGAAGCCAAAACAGAACGCAACTACTTGTTCTCATTTATAAAAACTAGTTACCCTATAGAAACTTTATAGACGAAACTATAAGCAAAATCAGTCAGAACTTTACTACTAACGGACACCTCCCGAAAGCAGACACTGCTATTAGGTCCCTGCCAATACTCTTACTATTAACTTATTTACAACCTCTCATAAGCAGACACCAAAACAATCTTCAAACAATTCTGTAGTGTTTATGGTGTTTCGAAAGTTCACTTTTAGGGGTGGTCATGGGAGAAAAATTTACATGAGTTTAATATTTACTGAGGAAATTACCATACA